TTCTTCCCCCCAACTTTTTTTCTTTTTTTTTTTAAACCTTTTTTTTTTCTTTTCCAAACCACCTCTAGAAAGTGTTCCCTTTTTTTTTTTCTTTTTTCTTCTCTCTTCCTTCTTTCCTTTCCTCTCCTTTTTACTCTACTCTCCTTCCCCTAATCTTTTGCCTATTCTGATTTCACTCTTGCTTTTTACCTTCAGCAAGTCATCTCAGGAAGGTTTCCCTTTCTCTTTTCTCTTAAACTGCTGTGGAAGATTGTAATTTGAATAGTATGATCATTTTTCTGTTAGGAGGATTGGTATAAGTAGTTATGTGCTTTAGCCTTTGATGATGAAGAAAGTATGAAAAAGAGAAGACTGAGGTGAGCAGCAGGTCCCAAAGGGCCTTACTTGCCAGCTGCTTCAGAGCACAGGGCAGTTCAGAACAACTTTCTAGGGAAGTTGTACGTGGTTGCTAATGCTAAGCCAGGATCAAAAGCTGGTGGAGTTATAGCCAAGACTGTCTATTTTATATTTTGTCTGGCAGTATTTGCTAGCCCAGACTTGAGAGTTGGTGCTTTCATAGTACTCTGCTATCAGAAGGGGCTGCGCAGACCCTCCCTTTGGATGCTGTAGCTCCCTTGCTGTTAGTTCCTGATGCCAGAAATCCACCCACGAGTCATCCAGGGGCCAGAGTTTCCATATTCTGCACTTGACTAAGATTTCATAGTGCTGCTCTTTCTCCCTGTAAATTTACAAACCAAATACCACGAGGTGAGGTTTCATAGCTTGTAGCAAGGATGCTTGTAGCAACCTCCCTTATCTCCTCCATTGTGAACAACCCCCAGAGACACACGCATGCCAATTTGTAAGTGGAGCGGACAGTCCTTCAGGGACTGCAGCTTGTTTCCATCATGGAGAGCAGGTCTTTGAGAGGAAGTCTATGACTGCCCTGAAGAGCACTAAAACACAAAAACCTGGACACTACTTCAATCTTGGTTCAGCAGGGTGGAGTCACTCTGTCAGGAAGGGTTCGCAGAGAGCCTTTACTTTGCAAATGCAAGTACAAATAGTGAGCCATTTTTTTCAGCATTGATTTTGCTGTTTCCAGTTTTCTGGGTGCAAAGGAGAGGAATGGACTGTGCATCCAAATGAGGTGATCTCAAACTACAGAAGTCCTCTTTCTGCAGCAGCATGTGCTATGGAATGTCTGCAAATTTTGAGTGCTTCCTGGAAGGATGATTGCTCTGCGAATCAACACCTTATTTTCAGCGTGGGGTGGGAGAGGGAAGCTCTTGCTGCTGTGCTTACTGATGCAGTGTGGAATGATGACACTTGCCACAGTTGTGCAGCCTAGCCAGGTTTTGGGAGACACTTGCAGCCCTCAGGAAAACTAGTAAACTTCTTAGCTAAGCTCCCTGTCCCCCACTGCAGGTGACTTTGCCACATTAGCAAGTTCCCATTGAACGAACCCTTTGTGATAAAATGGTCAGAAGTGAGATCCTGAGAGGACTGAGCAGCTTCCATCATCTCTTGAGCTAACACCACCCCCAGCACTGCCTGCAGCTCTCCTCTCCCCTCCCACCCTCTCCCTCTTCTGCAGGGCATAATTTTTTACCTCTTTCTTGAGAATGTAGGGCCAGACAAAGTGTTAACACATTTTTTTGACAAATTATTAGATGGTGGATGGTTGTTTCATCTGCACTTTTGTGCTGGGAAAAAGACAACAGGAGTAAGGAAAAGGATGAATTGAAAGAAAACTGAAATTAGTCTATGGTTTAGGTATGTGGGGCTTTTTTCTGTGCAAGGTTAGTGTTGATTTCTGTCACTTCAATACTGACTCAAGACAAGTCCATACTTTCCTTAGGGCAGCTGAGTTTGGTTTTACTACTGAATCTTGTTCACTGCCTGTTTTCCCTGCACACAAAGACAGAGAACCCAACATTCCTCCTTGGGGCTTTACTGACCACTGGGCTGGTAGAGCAGGTGGAAAATGACTATCCCACACTTTTATGCCAGTGTCCAAAGCGGTGTTGTCTAAGCAAGCCTGTCTAAGTGGATTCCTTCTGGCCTGGCTGATCAGTTGTATGGGTCTAGGATTCTTGGTCAGGAGCAAATACTTGTCTTCCTTGCTGGGCATGGGGCACAGGGAAGGGACTCCAGGAAGGGTGAGAGCATGCCTCCTTTGCCTCCTGTGGTGGCAGGGCTGCTGCAGAGCAGCGAACAGCCCCTAAACACAAGGCTGCTGCACAACACTGACTGTGGCTGGCATTGCAGGGCTCAGATCAGGAGAAGCCTGGCTGTGCCTGCAGAGCATGTCTTCTGTTGCACACATGCATAGTGCTAACAGTAGCAGCGGTTGCTTCCTGAACTCTCAGGGCCAGAGATATTACTTGTTCCTGGGAGTCCTCTATATGGTAAGAGGAAGGTCTACAGAAAGCAGGGCTCCACCTTCAGGGTTATAAGTAAATGGTAAAAATTCCCAGGCACTGTAAAAATGCCTGGGACTCTTAGCCACCTCTTTCAGAAACAGGAAATCACAGGGGATTTCCTCCCTCTGGGAGAAGTTCCCTGCCCACACCTGCATTTACTTGTATTGTGTTTGCAGGGAAAGAGAAAACTGCTCCTGGGTTTCTATGGACAGTTCCTAAAGACTCTATCATCAGCAAAAGCAGGAAAAAAATAGAAGGGCAAGGTGTTTCCTCCTATGGGCACTAGAAGACCTACTGAGATATCACTGTCCACCTTTGCCCACCTAGCCTTTTGCTGAGCTGAGATTGCCTCTTTCTCTCTCTTTCAGAGCTCCACCGCCACGAGAGCATCCAGGAGAAGAATGTGAAAGAAGCCAAAACCAAGTGCAGAACCATTGCATCCCTGCTGACAGATGCACCCAACCCCCACTCCAAGGGGGTGCTGATGTTTAAGAAGCGCAGGCAGAGGGCTAAGAAGTATACATTGGTAAGCTTTGGGAGTGTCGACGAAGACCGCTCCTACGAGGAGGAAGACGGAGTTTTTCCAACTAGTGAGTCTGAATTTGATGAGGAAGGTTTCTCTGATGCCCGAAGCCTAACTAACCACTCAGACTGGGACAACACTTACCTAGACATTGAGAAGTCCAAGTCTGACACTGAACAGAAGGAAGAGAAGCAAAAAGGTTTGAGTGAAGCCTCAGGTAAAGGAGCACGATTGTTTGAGCAGCAGAGGGAACGGGCTGGGAAGTACACAGTTGAGAAAGCTCCAGGGCAGAAGAGCCCCCAGCTTGACCCAGCTGCCCAGCCAAAGCAGGGCACAGTGAACGGAGATATGCCTGTGCCAGAGGAGAAGGCAGACAGCATGCCCCTCAGCATCCACCTGGAAAGTGTGCAAGTGCCCAGTAAGCAGCCAGCCACCCTCCCTACTGAGATTCAGGCTGCTCCTAGCCCCACTTTCTTCCCACCTCCCCCAAGCACCCCCGACCCTTTCTCTGCAAGCTCAACAAGCATGTTCAACAGGTCTGCACGGCCCTTTACTCCTGGCTTTTCTGGCCAACGCCCAGCAACATCCTCTGTCATCTTTAGGCCATCTGCACCCAAAAAACCCAGTGAAAATCTGAGTGGGCAAAGCACAGTGGTTTCCCCTTTCTCATTTCCGGCTCCTGCCAACGCACCAGTGCCAACACACCGTGGTGCAGTCAGCTCCTCCACATCTCTGTATATCCCTGCACCAGGAAGGCCAACATCACCACTGGAGTCACAGCCAAAAGGAGGAAGTTCTCCAGAAACTAAGCCTTCTGCCAACACTGCTCGGACATCCACCACTTCTATCTTTCTGTCAACTCCCTCAAAGCCAGGAGGGGATGTGGCCTCTGCAGCATCCCAGCCACAAGTCCATGGAACAGCCTCTTCTTCTTTGTATATTAGTCCAGCACCATCACAGCACATGAGAAGCAGTTCCCCTGTGCCAAAGCAGCCTTCTCCTGCCATCACTCCAGCAATGCCACGACCTCCTTCAGAGCCCTTAACCTCCAGGGAGCAGAGGATTGCTGTGCCAGCTCCCCGCACAGGCATCCTGCAGGAGGCTCGACGGCGGGGCAACAAGAAACCCATGTTCAGTAAGATTGAGGAGAAGAAGAAGAATTCACCCAATCCTGAACTCCTGTCTCTGGTGCAGAACCTGGATGAGAAGCCGAAAGGTGACCACCCCGGGGCAGGCTTCGAGTCTGGGCCTGAGGAAGACTTCCTCAGCCTGGGTGCTGAGGCCTGCAACTTCATGCAGTCCTCGGGCCGTAAGTTCAAGACCCCACCTCCAGTGGCTCCTAAGCCAGATGCTGGACTGGTAAATGGGGCCCAGGACATGCCTCAGCTTAAAGGCAAGGGAGCAGAGCTTTTTGCCAAACGCCAGAGCCGCATGGACAAATATGTGGTGGAGACAACACCGAAGCCGGACCCCAAGCCCAGGACCCCCTCTCCTTCCCCTTCTCTACCTTCATCCTGGAAATATTCACCCAACATCCGGGCTCCCCCTCCAATAGCTTACAACCCAATGCATTCCCCTTTCTATCCCCTGGCAGCCAGCAAATCTCAGGCTAGCAAAGCAGAGAGCAAAGTGAAAAAGGCACCTGGCCAGAAATCAGGGATCAAGGTCATTGATATAATGCGCCACCAGCCCTATCAATTAAAGTCAGCCATGTTCTGTTTTGGGGATCCCCCAAGCCCCAGCACTCAGAATTCTGGTCAGCCAGCCCCGCAGGCTAGCTCATCCTTCATGGCAGCCAAGCAGGTGCCCGTGAAAACAGCCAAGACCCAGGAGATTCGTCGCTTCTCCACTCCGGCTCCCATGCCAGCCTCTAGCAGCCTGGCACCTACCGTGCTTATGCCCCGCTCAGCAACCACGCTGGATGAGCCATTGTGGAGAACAGAAATGGCCTCTTCTGCTCCTGTTACACCAGCACCCTTTAAGGTGGAGCTCAGCCAGTCCCCAAAACCATATCAGAGCTCCCCAGAGCCTGGTCAGGTGGGCCAGGGGCCTTCTCCAAATCCAGCCTCTGCCTCTCGGTTTCAGGTGGCCAGGCCCAAATTCTCAGCAGCAAGAACAGGGATGCAGGCCAATGTGTGGAGGCCAAGTTTTGGCCACCACTGAGGCAGGTACCCCTCCCATCCCATCTGTGGCCCCGCAGAGATAGTGCTTGTTTTGTCTTTCATGTCAGCTCAGTACATTGGGATGAGTGACACAAAATGAAGAAAAAAAACCAAACCAAATTACTCCCCTTCTGCACCACCCTCTCCCCCAACCTCCCCTTGGGTCTCAGGTGGGAAACTTCACGGAAAGGCTTACTGGCTGTGGCTATAGTAGGAGGAAGAATGTGGAGAAAGGGTACATGTGTGGTATACAGAGACTGGGAACTTGTACACAGCAGCAAAACCCACCTCTGGAGGGGATGAATGGCAGGGGTTGTATCACATGAGGACACACAGGAGGCAGTAGTTTTCCTTTCCCAAGCGCTTTGGAGTCACCCCTGAATGGAGGGAAACTGGGGGGCAACAGCTTTCCCAGAAGAAAGGGTGAGAGGTGGGATTACAGAACAGAAGTCCTACCTTTTCCGTTAGACTGCTCCTCTCTGAGCCTGTCAGTCTGTACACATGCACCTGTGTGCACACACATGTACACAGCAACACTCAGCAGGAAGTGAAAGTAAAAGCGGGGCTTCATCTTAGACACTTCTCCCAGACTTCCCTCTGGAAGGGCATGGGAAAGAAGGCAAGAGAGCAGAGTGAGCAGTGGTGTTTGCCCATGCACGTGTGGGCAGTGTGCCCTGTGCAGGAGAGTGGCCGTGTGTGCCCCATTCCTCCAGTCAGCAGGGCTGGGGGTAAAAGGGAGAGTTGTCCCAGCTGATACAAAATATGACTTAGGTCTGGAAGCAGTTTGCCAAAGAGGGCCTTTGAGTGGACTTGGTGGGGCTATCACCAGCTGTGGAAACAAACTGCAAAAGGAAGTATCAATTTCTGAGGATACACAAAATCAAAGCTAAGCTCAGGCAGTGGCTGGTTGGCACAAAGAAAGGCTCTGCAGCATTAGTCCCACTGGAACAGGATATGGATGCTGTAAGTACAAAGCTGGATTGCATGGGAGAAGGTACAGTTGACTTTAAAAGGAGGCAGGATCGAAAATGCATTTGCATATGATCTTTTTGTTTATTTAGGATGGAAGTGTGGCTAGATTAGAAATGGGTCATGACATAATACTTGCTGAAAACTTTGTGATGAGCTGGAAAACAGAGGCCCTTTACAGACATTCTCAGTATGGAAGTGGAGGTCAGGAAAACAGAAAGTCACAAGTAGAATTTCATACTAAATGATTTAGGTATCCTTGGGGTCTATTTGGTAAAAACTGAAGTGCTCTGAGAATCCCGAAAGATCTGCACTCACATACACATACAGAGCTCAGTTTGCTGGCGATACCGGGGAAAGAGTAATGGTTATTCCCTGAATGTCCCAGGCTAGCCTCTGACTTAATCTCTACACTAAAGGCATACAAGAAAAAAGCATTCCATTTCCCAAGGAAGAATTCAGCATATTAATAGGGACTGTGCATGTGTATGTGCATGTCATCTGTACTCTGGTTTATACACACCCCTGCCATTTACTTTCTGCCTGTGTTCCTCTTTTTCCACCAACCACTTTTTCAGTGTGATCCCACAAGTACACCAAGAAAGCACTGCTCCTGAAGCACTGGGGCCAAACACAGCAGATGCCCCAGCTGCAGGGAAGGGGCTTGCCACCTCTTCTTGGGTCAAGGTTGCTTAGCCTTTTGCTAAACCCTTAGGAATATGTATGGGAGGCAGAAAGAGTCTCATAGCCCCACTTGAGACAAGTGTCCATCTTGTCCACAAAACTCACTCCTCTCCTTCAAGCAGTAGCTGTTCTCTGACTGGACTGTGCACAAACTTTGGCTATACAAAACTGTAGGTTCTGGGGAGAAAAAAAGGAGTGCAAGTGGGGCTGATGCAGTCTATAAGCAGTGCAGCCAGTATGGTTTCACACTGTCTGAGCCAACCTTCCTCTGCACGGCCGGAGCTTATGATGTGTAGCTCTTTTCATGAAAGCTGAGTCTATACTTGGAGGCTCTAAAGTCCTTCTGTGTGAGCACCTTGAGATTTTTCATATGTGCTCTCCCATGAAGAAAAAGAAGGGTGGAGAACCTAGCTAGCAGCTCTAATCCTGGACAAGCTTGGGAGGGAGAGAATGAGAGAAAAGGAGAAGTAATACACAATCCTGCCTTTGAATCCTTCACTCTGGCCAGACTTGTTCTGCAGGCCTGTGTTTGCAGTGCACATTCCTGGGGGCCCTGAAACATAGGATGAGCGTGCTGGGGAGAGAGGAGGACAGCACTTACACTTGGCACACTATCAGCCATGGAAGAGGATCGTCAGAAAACCTTTGGGAACACCTTGAGTTAATGGACAAAGGTGTGGCTGAGTCAGAATAGGTGCTGCACCTGATTGTATGACACAGGAGCAGCCAAGCCGAATTGCTGAGGGGATTGTTTGTGTCCCTGGAAAGCTCCAGAGAGGACGTCTCAGGAGAAATCCTCACCACAGAGTTAATTCAGATCACCAGAATCCACTTAGCTCCAGTGAAGGAGAGCAGCCATGCTACAAAACTTACCTTGGATATTGCTTTCTCACTCATCCTGTACTGCATTGCATTGCCAGCATTTCTGGAAAAAACATCCTGAGTGCTAAAGTAAACTGAATATCTGTGTTTCTTCTCAAACATGGAAGAAGGAGTCTTCTATTTTATCTAGGAAAGATGTGGGAAGGAACTCAAGGACTAGCAGTGCTCCAAAAGCTTTGTCTCATCTCCTTGTGGAGTGTTGTCTGTCACTGGCTAGTGGTTTAAGCCACTAGCCTTAGACAGACAAGCCAGCCCAGGCTGAAAGCATTACTGAACTCAGGTGTAGAGAGAGGTTGTGTGGACCAGAGAAAGGGTGCTCAAGATAATTCTGCAGTGAAGAAGTAATCTCAGAAAGTCTGAATCTTACTCCAGTGTCCCTTTCCCTGAGGCCCCTAAAGTTAACTGCTCTCAGGGCCTGAGTGTCTCAGGAAATTCATTTTGCCACTGGAAAAATAGAGATGTCTGGCCTTAGTATGTAAGGGAGATTGCATGTGGTTAGTGTTTCAGTGATCCCACTCCAGCTTTCCGGGAGACAATGATACCTGCCAAGGCGTGATGGCCAAACGCTGCTCAGTGTTAGATGTCATGACCCAAGTGAGTGGAATAACTGCACTTACCCCATCATTTCTGATAATGTAATGGGCAGGAGATGAAAAAAAAGGTAGGTTTGATTGGAGAACGAATATTAAACATAAGAGGAAGAGAAAGAACCAGAAGGCTGGGAATCCTGCATTTTACTTACATCCTTGGTTCAAAGCTATGTTTAGAAGCAAATCCAAAGTAGTGTAATGGATCTCAGCCCTTTACAAACTTTTCTGGATCCTATGCTGACACAGAACATGATCTGCAGAAGCAGAGGGTGTTGCAGATGAGGCCTACACTGCTTGTGGTGTATTCCAAAGAAGGCCTGTAGCTGCAAGTAGGATGAGATGAGAAATAATACTGAGATGCATCTGTTAAGTTGTAAGGAAGAAACCTGAACTAGTGCTGGCTTTAAGCAGCTCTGCTAGTGTCTGCTCTTGAAAATATTGTGGCTAGCCTGTTAGAAAGGTCACAGGTGATATTACAAGGAATACTTTTGAAGCATATAAGCTTGTTTTGAGCCTCTCCAAATGTCTAATTCCTCAGCTGTTGAACAAGCACAGACAAACCCAGTTGTTTAACAAGTTTTATGTCCCACCTGCTAAGTTATAAGCTGCAGTGGTAGGCCAAACCTCAGTGTCCCCTTTGAAGATGTCTGCATGGGCTCTGATTTAAAACTGCCTATCATCCCTCCTCTCTATCATGCTGCAGGTTACACATTGCAGCTATGGCAGTTCTGGGGGTTTATCTTTGCTTCAGAAGTAACAGTCCTTTCCCTCTGAATTTATGGGAACACTTACCAGAGATAACCTCAAGATCCTGCAGCAGCTGAGAGGAAGAATCTCAGAAGAGACTGTGTGTGATGAGGAGTCACTGATCACCAGACACGAGCACAGTGCATGGCAAGATTGTCCCTTGTAAAGAATATGCTCCCTTTCTGCTATAATATCCAGCACCCCCTATCAGACCGTCTAGATCCTAGAAGAGACCCGTCAGTACTCTGAAAATGGGAGCCCTGCATTAGTGCTCTGTCTGGTGCAAGATGTGACCCCAGAAGACCAGAGCTGGCATCTTTGTTTATGGAAATCCTGTTTTTCCTTTTCTGTTTTGTCCTTTTTTTTTTCCAATCTAAAATCACTTTCTATTTGTTTGTGCAGAAAAATAAACTTGTGATATGCACTTTACAGGTGGTATTTTTTCACTTTCTTTGCTAGGCACCCAGGAGGAATTGCCATGTGTACAGCACATGTAGTTAGCACTATCATCAAATTCCTAAGGCCAAGAGAATATAAAGAGTCCAAAAAAGGATGGGATATCTCAGGGATAAAAACACCTAAGTTGGACTTAAAGCCCCTATACATTAAAAAAGCCCCATGCAAGCAAAAACTTAAGTGAGATCCAAAACTTTGGTACTACAGTCTATAAAATGCTCACTGACAGGGTGAAGAAATTCATGGCCCAGCCCGAGCTGGCTGCCCCATCACTGCCCCTCAGCCTGCTCTAACCTACCCTCTGCTTGTAAATCTGATATCAATGGAAGTTTGTCAGCTCTATTAAATCCAATTATAAACTTACATTGAATGATTCGACTTAATATTAACCAAAAGATCAGAAAAACAAAATCAGCCAGAAAATCAAACATATCCCACTGTATCCTCAGGCTCCAAGTCTAATCCTAGCGCTAACCTTAACTCAGTTCATGTTAATGTCTACTCAGTTTCTGGTTCCCAAGAGGTTTATTGTGTTCAGTTTAGGACAAGTGGTAGGAGGTCACCTTTTCCAGATGCATCTCACTCACAGACAGCAATTCCTGAGCACTGCAGAAGATGCTGGAATCAGCTGTAGGATTAGACTGCAGGCTCTGGACATTTGTCCAGCTATAATTTTGAGGATGTTTTTCAGATTAATTGCAAGGAGATGTTCCTTATGCAGTGGTCTGGAGATGAATCTTCAAATTATCCAGCATATTTCTGATTGACTTGCTGACAGGAAATTCAGGAAGGGGCAGCAATGTTTGCTGATGTCAGACTTGAGCTTCTGTCCAACCAGAAGAACAGCTCACAAAGAAATAAATCTGCAGATGCACAGGCTGCAGATTAGGACTGCATCTTGTTTTGCTTAATAAAGCTGACATAGTAGGATTATGACTCCAGATGGTTTGACACATTGCAGGACGGTTGCTGTACCCAGGGCTCTGATTAAATTCCCTATTAACCTCTACAACCTTCTCAAGTGAGAGTCATTTCCTCTCACAGCAGATCATGTCAGAAGGAGCCAGACAAACAGACTTTGAAAGATGGAACAAAAGCCTGCCAAGCCAAAGGATTACTAAGCACCTATGCGGCAGGCTAGGGATAAACTTGGCCTTCAGTATGCACCTCAGAGAGAAGTTTTAAAACCAGAAAATAGTAAGGGGATATCTAGTGGGGATATCTACTCCCAAACAATCATACCTGATGGAAGGAGAATGTCCAGCACTGAGCACAGCAGGGTAGTTATGTGGTATGTAGGAAAAATAAAGGGTATTCCCTGACAGTACAGACCTATAGCTTCAACGGCCACTAGATGTTGCCACTGTTCTTCTCTGAGTTACCTGGGGTTTTGGCATTTGCCTGATGTGGTGTTAAGTCTGGAGGGTTTAAAATCTTAGGAAATCCTTTCGTCCTAATCTATCCTCTTTTGACGTTTACATATGGTGTTGCTCAGTCCCACATACCAGAGGAGAAGGTCAGTCTCATACCAGGGAGTTTTGGCAGCAAAGGGCTTGCTGCAGCTTGCAGGGGATTCCTGGGTGGTAGCATGCGGGTCATGCAGGCAAACAGGCAGCCCAGCAAGTAACACACCATGGGCACGCCAGCTATTTCAACACACACTGCAGCTCTGTGATCAAATCCTACATATTTCCTCCCCAGACCTACATCTCATTGTGCATTAAGCTCACTTAGTGGCAACAGGGAGCCTGGCATTAACTGTTTCTCCTATTTTGGTGCTACAAAGTGCTGACAAGTCTTCCTGATGTCTGTGTAAAAGTGGAAGAGATTAAGCATATATTAAATATTTTAAAATAACAAATATGATATTTATTTGAAAATAATAATTAAAAAACCAACTGGGAAAAAAAGTGCCAAATCAAGGGTTGTGCAACATTTTTTCAGAACAGATTGAATCATTTTGAAATCTGCTGCTTATGAGTACCTTCAGCACAGATCAGTCCTGGGCAGCAGGGAAAAAGGGGATCAGGGAAAGGGTTTAATTCTCTGTCTTTAGAAAATTAAAGTGGTGAAGACTGATGCTGTTTGCCTGACTTACACGTGATCAAAATGTGCTCAGACAGCCCTGCTGATGACCACTGTCTGAACTACTGCTTGTGTCCATACAGCACAGTGTAACGAGGCAGATCTCATGCACTGCTCTTGAAATGATTTTGTAGACAGCAATGACTTGAAGCCAGACTTTTTGAAATTAGATGCAGAAGAATGCAGTGCAAAAATAAATTAATTTTGAAGAAATGTGCCAGAGAAGGTAAAGCTTTGTTCAGGCTGTTCCTAAGGCCACTTAAGCAAAGGGTATATTTGGAAAGAGGGAGGTGGTCACAGAGAGATACAGACAATTCCTTGTATGATTAAAAGCATCTCCCTGAAGTGCTGAAATGGCCTACAGGCAGCACACGTACTACCTCACTGGCATAAACGGAAATTCCATGTACTTAAGCAAAGATTGAATTTAGCCACCACACTCCAGGTAAGCCCCCCACCTCACCTCAGTGAAAACTACACCAGCTCATCAAGCAAGACGTGTAGTGATTTAAAGCCCTTAGCATTGAGTAGCATGTGTGTAAGATAACAGTAAGAAAACAAATACTTTCTTCTCTATGCTGAGTTCATTGCATTGCTTATGGCAGAGATAGCAGATTGATGCAATATTCCCAGTGCAAAAAGCCACAGAGCTGCTGAACCCAGCACCATGGCAGGACACAAGTGAAGTCTCTGCTAGACCCACAATTGATATTTCTAGACTAGTGAACTAGACATTCCTGTGTCTCAGGAGAAACTATGTCTAGAGAGGAGAAAAGGGCAGGACTTAGTTCTCAGCCTGGTAACTGAAAATGAAGACATTATTTGAAGGTAGAGTAGGAGGTAAGAGTCTTAGTTAAAGATGTGTCTTGGTGCATAAGTGTCAGACACAAGACTGCTTTATCCAAATCACCCTATAAATCCTGGTGCCATACTAATAGGATAAACACTCTCACATTCCTTCTAGGCTCAAGGCTCAGGCTCTGTGCAGCACACTCCAGATGCACTCTTATGTCCTGTGTCTCACCTGGTCTATGTACACGCAGATGAAAACAAACTCTGGAGGACTGGGGTTGCAAGGACAGAACAGGACTTCATAGAGCGCTGAATGAGGGTTATGGATCATCTTTCAAAATGGAGGAGGCCAAGGTCTCTTCAGAAATTGAGGCTGACAACAGTCACAGGGATAACAGCACTCAAAAACCTGGCTAAGAGACTGGTCTAAATCTTGGATTTTCCTACTGGAATTTCTGATGAGTCTGATGATTGGTCTAGGAACCAAAATACTACCCATCACCATGTAGGAAATAAAGAAATCTTCCCACGTGATCATTTCAGCTTCCAGGTACTATTTCTGAGCCCTGGATAAAGCTCCTGCCCTATATTCTCTACTCCCAGCTTACTTCCCTTCATATGCCTGCTCTATCTGTCTTGTTTCCAACTCCTTGCGCCCCCGGCCTACTTCTCACACAAGACCTTGACTAGGCACAGAAATGCTTTGTTCTCATCTGAGCACAGTTCCCATCACTCCTTGAAGCTGGACTTCAGAGTCCTCGGCCTTGCCCCTAACCCTGCTTGCCTCTTGCCCTTCAGGCTGGGGATCCACAGGGGACTCTTGTCCCCTGGAGTTGGCTCACCCTGAACTGCTGTCAGTGCCTTGTTCCTGGTCCTAATTGCAGGGCATGCCTGTTCCTATCCTGATTGACATCCTCGCACACCATGCTAGACATGCCTTCTCTTCACCTTGCTATTGCTTTTTATTAGTCTCTCTTGAGTTTCATAAGAGGGCTCACATCTGTTTCCTGCTCACTTCCAACTACCAGCCAGCCATGGGGCACTCTGCTCCCTTCCAGCCTGCTCAGCTCCTCTCTCTCTGCAGCTGCCTGGGGTGGAAGGAAGCAGAGGACCATCAGGTCATGTTTGTGGCAGGGAAGAGCAACCACATACTTCCCTGCTACATCATCTTTTGGAGCTACAAAAGATTTATCTCAAAATCCAGTAGGTTTCCACATGATATTCAGCTGGCACAAACTGTTCCCTAAGGTATAATTTGTGCTCAGAAGGGCACAGGAGATGACTGGAGAAATAATACAGCAGCTATAAATTGGTCTGAAAACAGCTGCTGGAAGCAAGTAGAGAGGATGTAGAGTTTAGCATCAATCTAGTTACTGCAAGAAGATGCCATATAATTGTATCTGCATTTCTCAGCTTCTCACCTGATAATATAAATCACATTAATTTCTTAAATCATTATCAAAATGTATCTAGAAACTTCTTTAAATTAAGAGGTGTCTGTAACTCATGCCTTTTGGAAAGGAGAGGCAAAGGGCTGCTGATTTTAAACAATACATCAGCATATTGTGTCTGTTCTCACTATGTCACCCCACATGCCATCATCTTATGACAGGCAGTGTCTCCCTTAAAGAGTAGGGTTTAGAACACAGGGAACTTGAATAGGAAAGCAGCATCTCAAAGAGCACAACTGCATGTCACAGCAAGGACTGCGCACTCCGGCCAAATGCCCAGCATGGTGCTAAACCAATCTCAGAGAGAGAATGTGGACAAAAGGTATTCCTCCTTGTACAACCTGCAGTTAGCAGGGCTTGGCCAACACTAAGAGACCTGCTCCTGCATGGCCTCCTGCACTTGTGCAGAGTGGGTGTGATGTTCGGACAGATGGTCAGTTGTGATGGTAGCATTTGACACCCTCCAGCTCTGTGCAGATGTAAATGCCTTCACTAGGCCTGAAGCTCTGTGACGGTGCCCAGAGCAGTGGGTATTTACAGTTCAATTGTGCTATCCCCTGCACCTGTTTTACACTGGCACTGTTCCAGGGATTTACTCCCCAATCACCAGCACGGGAGTGTGAGGGCAGGATCCGTGCTGGACAT